CGCCCCCTGGTGGACACTAGAGAGAATGCAGCTTTAACACATGACGCTTTGACTTCACTCTGAGGTTGCCGCCTATCTGAACTGAGGAAAAAACAAAGTAGAAAAACTGGATGCAAAATATGACATTTGTGTTGATCACATAGAAATAGAAAAAGAGTAGAATCATCAGGGTTTTACCGTAGCTTGTCTTGCTTTGTCTGTTATTGAAGGTGCTTTATAAATAAAGTTATTAATTGACTTTCCCATTCAAATCAAAGTAGAATTAAGGGTTTATTTTACGTCGTATGGTTGTATGTTTCAGTTTAGGTGTAAGAATATTTCCTTTATTGACATTTTGTGAGTTTATTTTGTTCTATTTATCAGACGTAGCGAACTCGCCGCTCACAACACAATGCATCCTGGTACTTGTAGGCACAGCCGGCAGCAGCAGAGATCAATACTTCAGTGTGACTACATTTACCATCAGAACCGATCAGACAAACACAGAAAAAGGTGGCGAGTTCTCCCTTTAAATGTGCAGCAATAAATAAAAACCTCCTGCCTGAACTTCCTGTAAACATTCCATCATCATCATCATCATCATCATCATCATCGTTGGTTTCTCTCACCCTGCCAGCGGTCCTCCGTTGGAGATGTCAAAGACCTGATGAGGGTTCAGCAGCTTCCTGAAGCCGTAGAGGAGCTCTCGGCCCTTCATGCCGCCGCTCTTCGGGTTCACGAACACGAGCAGAGGACAGACGTCTTCTCCCAGATCGTTGTTCTGACAGACAACAACTACAGTTACTCATTTTACCAATAACAACAATTTCCACTAATACTCACAGGTGGCGCTGTGAGTATTAGTGAAAATTAGCTTCTAGACATCCTCAGGCCATGAGTGTTATCAAGCATGAGAAGTTTGGGACCGTTTGGAACAAGTCCAGCTGAGTTACATCAGACATTTCCTTTAGCCAGTAGGCTTTGCGGGTTTACTGTAGCGCCCCCTAGTGGTCGAATGCAAAACAATTCTCAGGGTATGTTACTGGATGCGATGTGCACATATGCTGAATATTTTGGGAATTTAGAACAAATGGTTGAGAAGTTATGTGTATTGATATTTTGCCATGCACCTAAGAAGTGTATTGGTCCATATCTTGTAAACGCAAAGAGATATCAAAAATATTTTGA